CCTACCTTTTTTTCTTGCAGGAAGCCCACTTAATCCTCCTCCTTTGCATTTGATTCTCACAAAACCCTGAGAGGCAGGCTGAGAAGTAGCGACAGGTCCAGTCACCCAGTGAGTTTCACATCCAAGTGGGAAAAAAACCCCAGATTGCCTGAATTTTAGGTCAGCTTCGCTACACTGACTCTCCCAGTAGACAGTACAGGATTAAATGGACTCACTGAGTTCACACAGCACAACAAACTATGATCAGCCATAGTGAGTTATTATGTATTGCGCAACCAGCATGGCTTTACCAGGAGGCTTACTTTCATATACAGGCCTGAGAAGCCATGGCTTGTTGTACAGTTTTTGATACTCATAGCGGCTTCCTGTGCCATTCAAACCCAGTAGGACAATTTCATCATGGGTTGTCGGGCAAGAATAGCAAAAACCCCTGCCACTGTTCACAATCTCACTACTGCTGCTGTCATTCTCCCTTTACAATGCCCTATACCTCATGCTAATAAAAATTGAGAAGAAAAAACACTGGAGAGGATTCTGAACACATTCACATTTCAATTAATGTTCAGTCCAGTACAAGTATACAAGAATAACTGACAACTGTCTTAACACTGGCACAATTCGTCTCCTCTGCACAGCTGCTTTAACATCACATTTGTACAGAAACAAATATTTGTCATGGAATTTGCATAAATTCTCCCTTCTCCCTCTGCCCAAAAGTTGCACAATTTTGTTTTATTTCCCTGCCATGTGATTAGTGCAGTATTTCCCTTAATTTTATTGCTCTTCTAAGAGATTTACACCATTTTCCCTTTCAGTTTATCTTGAAATTCGTAGAATTTCCTCCTCCATTGTATTGCTTGCCATGTCATTTTCATATGTTCATTGCTCCTGCTCACTGCTCTGAACCTGCATGTATACATGATAGCAAGTAATGGAGAACAGTGGAGAGAAGTGACAACCATGTTGAGGTGAGGGGAGACAAATGCGCTGGCAGCTGCAGGAGAAAGAGAGCTCTGCAGTCAATCTTATTACTCAAGTATAACGTGAAGTCACCCCCGCCCCTTTAAAGGTGTTTACTAGCAAGAAGTCCCAAAGTGGAAGACATTCACAGCAGGGAGATAAAGGCTATAAACAAACAAGCAAACATGTTCATGCACTCCTAAGTGCTCTGGAAGTTATTTTCTTCTTACAATCTAGGGTTGCGGTGAGCCAAAGACAAATGGTGTTTGCAAGACAGAAAGCGCTGTAGGGGTGAACATTATTACTTAAATGTAACATTTTTTAAAGTGTTCACTAGCAAGGTAAGTGCTGAAATGGATGACACTGAGAACTACAGTGACAAGAGGGAGATACCAGTATGTTTGGCAGAACAGCAGATAGGCATTCTTGCGCAAGAATGCAAGACCTCAACAAAGTGTTTTGTTTTGCTTTCAAAGTTGCTCAGGTCTCCAAAAACCAATTTCATTTCATGAAGAGCAAGAGGAACATTCCCCTGGAAGCCAGCAAACCCAGCAGGTCAACTGCAAAAAACGTGCTGACATGGGGACCAAGGAGCTCTATTGTAGTATGCCCAAATATCTGCCAGCTTACAGCAAACAACCAATCCTTGACAGCTTATTCTCAAGGTGGCTTCTCATGGCATGGAATCTCAACCATGATAAGGAAGCTATATACACATAGGACTGAAACAAAATGTGCTAGTGCATCTTCCTCTTGTCAAAGTGTATCAGGCAATCCTCCTCCTTTATTTCATTCTCCTCTCATCTGTCATTGCTATTTTCTCACTGATGTTCGTAATTCCTTTACTGAATATGTTCTTTCTTCCTTGAGTTTTTTTTTTCTTTTTAGGGGAACACATAGTTTTTCCTTTAAGGTATTTGTGAACTTCCTTTAAGGTATTTGCAAACCTTGGGGGTTCACCCAAGCAGTGGTTTTGGGTCCAATCCTGTTGGCACTAACTATACACACACACACACAAACCAGTCCCTGATGTTCTGTCACGCTCTAATTTAACCAGTAAATAGAAGACTGAACACATAGGAACAGCCTTGCATTTTCATGGCTGAAATTGCCATAGGCAGGAAGATACTCAATTTGATGAGTGAGCCTCTTGCTTCTAAGTGCATCCCTTTACTTTCTTTCACATAAATGAATGGTTACCATTCCTGAGGAAAAGCAACCTACTCAGGAAACCACCAGCCACACCAAGCCCAAGGGATGAGTCTTGCATGGCCACACTGGTTTGAAATGTGAAGCATGAAGCAGCAACACAAGAGTGACACTGTGTAAAAGGTGTGCATTTCGACTGACAAAGTGGCCATTTGAAATTCAGGCCTTCTATTTAGGATGCCTGACAAATAAAGGTGAATCTTGGCTGCAAATCTTACTGAGTTCAGAGGTCATGCTCCAACAAGAAATTGTGCTCAGAATCACAATATAAAGGAGGGTTTCTTATCTGGACACAAAGAGGTCCCAGTCAGTGCTATTATATTAAAGATACCTGAAATTTAAGCATAAAGCCCTGGTCTCTCTCATCACTGATGGATATTTCAGAAAATAATGCTAACAGAGATTCAGGCATAGATGTTGTCTTCCTTGAATCAACCTGGCAGAAAATGCTCTCTGAGACATCAATATTCTGCCACTTACAAGCAAGCATGACAAATGACCTGCACTTTACAGCAATCCCCACCCCTGCAGCCATTACCTGCCAGGATACATTAACTAGAAACACCTGGGTGACAGCCAAAATAAAATTCCACCCAGTCCACCAGCTAGGCAATGGTTCAGCATTTAAATTCTTTCCCCAGACTCCCACAGAATTTGTTACAGAAGTCTGACACTCCTCCCTCCTCTTTTGACAATAAATGAAATTAAAGGTTCAGTCTACCCTTTCCAGCATGTTCAGACAATTAATCCTGCCATCATATATGTATGTGCATGGGGGTGCAGACAGGGTCCTGATTAAAAAGGAACTGTTTAAGCTAAACATAACCTCATGGTGCCCCAGGGCCAAGGCTGGGGAGAATGATGGGAGCGTACACTTCTAAAGCAGAAACTTCCTGCAACTTCAAACCAGCATTTGGAAAGACAGGTGGATGAAATTACATGACAGCAGCCAAACAAATGTTACAGGAAGATGCCTTTCAGCCATTCTTCTGACTTCCCTCTACAGAAAATGTCAATTTATTTATAAGAAGTATCCCCATGCTCTCCAACACCATTGCTCATTTAGCACCAGGCAATGTGATCAGTACTGATCTGTGAATCACTACCATTTTGACACTGTAAAATAATTAGAACAGGCAGGGGACCCTTGATGGGGTTTCTTTTCCAGTTTAGTGACTTGCCTGCTGTGCACTGTGTTGCAGCCTGTTTGGAATTATGCCTTATGTGTCCCCTCTTTTAGAAATGTTATGAAAAGTACTTTCAAGACCACCAAAACTGGAGAGAAATGGGAGCCCAAATTTCTACCAAAGCAGGGCTGTACCTTTAAGGGGCTTGTCTAGTAGGAAGAGCTACTGCATTCCTGTTGAAGAAGGCTGCTGTCCCAACACGCAACAGAGGCTAGAAATAACCTGCACACATACAACCTTCCAGCACTGATTTCAACAATTCCACTGTCTCTCACTCACCAGCAGTAAAGAAAGGCACAAAAGGAGGGGGGAGAGAGAAACAGAAACAAGGACAGCAACGAAAATACAAAAGGACTAAATTTATTAGATCAACTTTAGAGGAGGAAGGGAAGGAGATGGGAGCATATGCATCAAAAGAGGATGCCTTTTAGGGAAAAAATATTCCAAGGCAAAAATACATGATAATGAAGGAAATTCAGACCCCTTTGCTGTGGCTTTGTTGGGATCTGGCTTGGTTGCTGGAAGAAAAGCTTTAAAGGCTGTGAAAGGGAAATTAATCAATGGCCAGAGCGGATCCATTATATATTATAAACTAAAATAGACTGAGAAACAAGAATTCCCCTTCAACGAGGGGGTGTGTTGGGGAGAGAGAGGGAAAGAGAGAGAGAGAGACGGATGGGACAAAGACAATGCCAAGTAGGGAAGAAAGCAGGTAGTTAGCTCGGCGGGATGCCCTACACGCTGGCGCCAGAAACACTCAAGCACCTCTTGCAAATTAGCAAAGCCGCCGCTCCACCCTCTTTGCAGAAAGAGAGGGCTTAATTTGAGCCAGAGTTCACGTAGGCTTTGCCCTAACACCTCTTTTCATAATAGAGGATCCGGCTGCTCGAAGTCGGAATGGGGGGGAGCATGTGTAAGATAGGAATCAGCTCTGGAATGTGAAAATTGCTTTAGTAATTAGTACCTAGGCATATGCAAAGAGTTTTTCCCTTCTCGATGAATGCATGCAATTCCTTCGAGACACAAGTCTCCTAACTCTACCTTGAGAAACAAAGGGAGTGGGAAACGGAGAAAGGATAGGGATATTAGGGTATTGCTGGCCCACAGCCGATCCTGCAGCCACGAGGGGAAAGGCCCCTCACAGCAAGCAGGTGAGTGGTCGCCACCAGTGCTATCCAAAGGCTCTCTGTTCATAATTAAGACATTCTTTACTCAGTACTACTAATTCCTACGTAAGTGTGCAAAATGATTTGAGTTTTAGAGTGCGAACAGCTCAGTCTGAGTGCCAGACTAAAAGGCAAGGCGCGTGGGTCCGAAGGAAGTCACTGCCCGAGTCCGAAGCACCTGAAGAGCTTCCTCCGAGCTCGTCTTCGGTCGTCACGGCTCTGATTAAGAGTGCCTCTGACCATGTGCCGAGCGCCGTCCGGGCAGTCCTGCACGGCATTTACTGGCTTCACAGCAGGGCTCCCAGATTAAAGGAGTTCCGGCATCTTCCATAAACTGGGCAAGGCGAGGGGAGAATGTGTGTGTGTGTGTGGGGGGGGTGTTTCATCTGCCCTGCGTGGCCCCATCTCCTTCGCCTGCAGCCTAATCGGCGCCCGGCGGTTAAGAGCGCGGGAAAGGGGTGTCCTGGCAAAAGCTTACCTCGCACGTCCAAGAGGGCTCCCAACTGAAGCAGAAGCAGCAAGAGCGGCGGCGGCAGGCGGGCGCCCCCGAGCCGCCTCATGGTGGCGACCCCTGCCGCAGCTCCAGCCCCTGCACTCGGCAGCCTCTTCTCCCTTCCTGAGCCGCCGCGAGAAAGTTGAGTTCTCTCTCAACGTGCGGCGGCTGCGCGTGTCCCTCCCGCTGCGGTGCCGGGCGACCTTGCTCGCTGGCCGCCACCAGGCACCACGACTTGCCCGGGTAGCTCGCGGTACGCCCGGGCTCTGCTGGAGCGGCAGCGGCTGCTTTGCTCCGCGCCGCTAATGCCTCCCCCATGCAGCAGAAGCAAGCAACGGTAAGATTGGGGCTGGCTCGGCTCCTTCTCCGCCTGCCCGCCCCCGGCCCTGCCCCCGGAGGAGGAGTCCCGCCGGGGCAACCTCCGCCCTCGTTTCTCGCCCTGCGCTGTTACTGCTCAGGCTGCGGGAACGCAGCCTGGCGCACTTCCAAACTTCCCAAGAGGGAAAAGTGCTAGGCGGCCACCCGAACAACGCGTCGCCCTACCTTCCTGCCTTGAGCAGGATTTCGCGTCCTCGCCCACCACGCGAGGCTACACCGTGCCCACTCCCCTGACAAGTCCCCGTTGCATTTTTGCCCAGGGAGACACTTTCTTCCACCGCCCCAGCCCTGGTAGGCTCCAGGTATGCCATGCACCACTTCACCTCCAAACACACACCGACAACTCATCCCTTCTCAACAAAACGACTATTTGGACCTCTTTACTCCCAGCTTGAACGCGGCAATCCAAGATAGGATGGGTCAAATGTGTACATCTAACGACATTTCCTTCTTAACTCGGTGTTCATTAAAATCTGAACTTTCTTAAGAAGCATACACTTCACTCCTTTCAGTCTAAAAGCAACTATTTTTGAAGATTTTTTTTTAAATCATGCCATCAAATAGGTTACTTTGTCTAAGTGGAAAAGCCATATGCAGCTAGAGACTAGATCTGCACAATCAGGAGGTGGAGATAAACCACAGTTGTTTATTTCAGTCTCTTATTGTGTATGCCTGTGTGAACCCTGCTGGAATGTTACCCATGGCAACAAGCCACTCAGTAACCTCCAACAGTCCACCTGGCAGGCTCACAAACATGACAAGCTGCACTGCTGAGGGTAATTATGCAATGCATGCATGGGAGTGGGCACCAGGGAAATAAACCATGGCTGCTTATTTCCCTTTCATGACTGTAGAGACTGGTCAGTGTTTTTGGCTAGTGAGATTTCTCCTGTTTAGGTAAGAGAGGACTCCTGAATTTTGCCATGTCTTTTTTATTGCAGCCCTGAAAACTGCTCCTGAATGTTGAGGGGTGGAGGCTCTGGAATACTATGGAATAGGGCAACAGGTCTCTAGTAGATTGGAGAGGTTGGCAAAAATCAGGATTTGGGTGCTTCCAGACAAAGTTTTTATTGTGCAACAGCCTTCCTTCATTCACAGTTGTTTACAGGGATCAATCTGTAATGCTCCTGTGTTTTCCTATGATTTCTTTCATCTTTCTTACCAGAAAACACATCATTTAAGGTGGAAAACAAAATAGCTTCATGATGCCTTTTGACTGATAGTGCAAGTAACCCCTTTATACAGAATCATACTTTTGGAAGGACCTTGGACTAGTTCTGATCCAGCCCCTGTTCAGTGCAGAATCTGCAATGAAAGATGCAACTACTAATTTCTGAACAGAGGTTCATCTAGGCCTCACTTTAAAAGTCCAGAAGTGAAAGAAAACCCACTAGTTTCCAAGATAGCCTGTTTCATGTCAAACAGTCCTTACCCTTAGGAACTTTCTCTTAATGTTTACTTGAAATCTGCTACCTGATGCAATTGTCCTCCATACCTTCCGCTCCCCAAGACAGTGCTGCATTACCCAAAAGTTGAGGTGAGCAACTGGAGGTTCAACTGAGATTGACAAACAACCAGAAGTCCCTGTCATCCAAGAACTGTGGTAACAATATAATCTCTGATTAAGCCCTAGTGTTCCTATAAATGGACTTTTGCATGATGTAAAGTCACTATGTAAACAAGGACAAAACCCCAAAGAAAATCAGGCTCATCTATATACTCCAAGCATTCCATAAAGGTAAAGGTATACCTAGTAGAATTACAGAATGGAACAGAACCTAATGCTGCTAATTCCTGTGAGATTGCTTGGTGCTAACTCACGAACCTAGTTTATTTTAGCCACTCATTACTCAGTGGTTTTTCCAAAATTATACCTGCCCAACATAGCCTGTGGTCGACATAGCTTCAGGGATAGGCAGTCTGGTACCCACCATATGTTTTATACCATAGGAGCCATCACGGATTATGAGAGCTGTAGTCCAGAGGTAGACTAGGGTCTGAATTCTGCTTAGTTATGAAGCTCATCAGGAGATCCTGAGCCAATCACTCTTTTTCAATCTATCCTACTGCACTGAGATGTTCTGAGAATAAAAAGTGGGGAGAACTATGTATGTTTCTGAGAGCTCCTGAGAACAGTAAGATATTCAATAAATCATTTATTTAAAGTCTGAAGAGGCCAACGCCTCCTTTGCCAAGAGGAACTTGCAGTTTATGATATGCTATGAGCTGCTTCTTGCCAATATCCAAGATGAATGTTTGGAATAAAGAATCTTTCTGGTAGGCTTTCTGCAATATTTATTGAGAAACCCCAAATAATGTAGATGAGGCATTTTGAATATATGAATTTGACTCCATACAGATCAGATGACTTTCTACCTGTTAAGGCCTAATCTCTTTCAAAATAGAGAAGAGATATAAGGATGCCCTTGATTTATGCCCTTGATTTTTTTAATTAAAATTCCTGGATCTTTGAAGTGCTTCGTAGATCATTGAAAAGGCAGGTTCCGGACAGCAGGATTAATCAGAGCCTGACTGACTGGCATAGCAGAAGACAACTCTGAACTCTCTTAAAAGCTAGTTTGCCACCGGGAGAAATAGTAAAGTTGCCATAATCCACAAGGATTCTCTCTTTCTCACAAAGTATACCATTCACACTGAAAACAGCACTTCATATTGAGAACAACAAAGAATCTTGTGCCACGTCAAAGACTGCCAGATTTATTCTGACATAACCTTTTATGAAGTAGAGCTCACTTAATCAGATACATGAAATATTATCTTCAGTTGGCAGATTTAGCTGGTTACAGAGGAAACACATATATTGTAAACACTGGGTTATTGCCTTTATAAAGGAAGGAAGCTACAGCACTGAATTTACAAGAGCCGAGCAGGGCTATCATGCATAGGATATTTTGGAGGTGTTTCATTCATAGAGTTGCCATAAGTCAAAATTAACTTGATGGCACATCAACAACAACAAACAGTGTGTTGAAAAGGACATGACATTTAGGGAATAATCTTTTGTGGAATTTCTGTGCAAATGTATACAGGACAAAAATAGAGTGACCCATTCATAACAGCAGCCTCTACAATAATGCTCTGCAATACAGTTTTTGCACCCAATGAGTCACAATTAAGTTGGATGAGATAAAATCATGTTTGTTTGTACATTCTGGTTAAGCGGTTTCAACCTGCTTTTTATGGAACTATGGTGATTCTCTTGGATCAGCAACAGAATATTCTGAGAGATTCAGGTGATTTCACATTGGTTTTTGAAATTAAGGGCTTTTCTATACTAGTTCTTTATTATGCTGTTAATTACTGTATCTGCTTCCAGATTCATTGCAGCATTGAAATATGAACGCTACAGAAAGAGCTCTTTCTTTCCTGCTTTTCTGCTACACAGCCTCCTCATGGAGCTGTGGAATAGTGGAATAGCAGAAATACACAAGAAGATAAAGCTCCTTTTTCCCTGTTGTAATTGAATAACCAATTTCCCCATTCTAAAAAAGGGAGGAAAAGTGCTCTGAACAAAGGAGCAGCTGAAATAGGGGATCAAAATGTTATTTAAGTAAGGAATCACACAAAAATACCTCCTATAGAGAAGTGGCAAATGTCAGATTTGTGTCCATTTACTCCCCTTCTCTAATTAATTTGTATGTCCTGTGTAGAAAATGGAAGGATGTTGGTAGGAGATGATGACATATTAATCACATTTGGTCTCTTCTGATGTGAAGCCATGATATTGGCTGGCATTACATGACCTAGCTCTGTCCTTATCTTCCTGTTATAAACACTGATTTCTCTCCTCACTTCCCATTAGTAGCAAATTACAATTTGCTGTTGCATGCAAATTTGTTTTCACAAGCCATTTTCAAATTTGTCTACAAACCATGAATACTTCCTTGTTTCAACTGAGTTTTCAGTTCATGGGCACAAACTATATTTCACCATTCAGATGCAATGGGAAACTCTGGTTTGTTACTAGATTGGAAGCAGGAGTGGAGGGGAACAAGAGCTTTTGGAGAACTACATAGCATGGGACTCATTCATGTAAATGTTTGACCAAAATTTTATTTTACATCTGAACCAACCTGCAAAAAGATGGGCATATAAATAAGCTCTTGTTGTTCACTTGTCATTTAAGAAAAATCTGAATGTTAGAGAGATCTGCTCATCCGAGCCCTGGGTTTTACTCTTGAAACGTCTGGGTTTGTATCCCTGTGTATATTCGACCATGTTGATTCCAGGCTAGTTCCATGTTACCAGCTTTTATGGTCCTCCTGTTCATCTTGAACAACTAAGTAACAGACATGCTAAGAATTGTTGTACCTATTGGATTTATTTGATGCAGATGGGTACACATTTCATTTAAAAAAATTTTTTTCACCAACATTCACACATTTTGTGTGTGTAAGAGAAAGAGTTCAAGATATACAAAACTGGAGTGTGAGAGAAACTAAAGTGAATATATTTGTCCATCCCTGGTTTCTTAACCAAACTCTAGATGTGAGTCCCTTTTAGATATACTAAAAGAGCTAGTGATGGGCAGAGCCAGAGTCACGGGATGGCAAAAACGTCTGGAAGTTGGGGCTGCTCCAGTGCTCTTTGCAATTACAAGTAGAATTCCAGGATGGCAGGCACCAATCCTGCCCTTGGGCAAACCCTTCCCAGCCTAACCTTGCTTTCTGCCCCATCAGCTCT